ACTATTTGGGATGTCTACTAAGTTGTGCTTTTTTTGTCAGAATTAAGGCGGGGATATGAGAAGGAAGGAAGGGTGAAACAGAAAGAGAAAGCTTGCTGATAAGATTTAGCCCTGGGAAAGTTTTGCCAGCAGGATGTCTTAGTCTGTCATGCATGTAAAACCGGGATTCATTTCAGCTCAGTATTTGATGCAATCTTAGAAACGTTGTGAACGGAGGATAAGAAGCTCTCTGCCTCAAGAAAAGACGACAAAGACGTACCCACATGTTGAATCGTACATGGGATGCCTACAGAAATAATTATTTGTGCAGCTGAGCTTCACATTTTTGCTGCCAGATGCGTCTGCGACATTCTGCAAGGGTGTTCATGACCTCGTTCTCTTTTGGCCGTGTTACATACGTATATGGCATTCTGCAGCCTTCGTAATACATTGGTAAAGTGTGATGATGTTTCTGAATTGAATGAACTTCTCTTTAATCTCAACCAGAATTTATTGTCTGCACGCATTTGCTAATGTTTTTCCTTCATTTCCGACTTCACAAAATATTTTTACTCGCGGGTATTTGTTTTGCTGTGGAAACTCGAAGTCATTAGTGTTTGCTCTGCAGTGCCCAAGAAACTGTTAATTTGTGCTGATGTACCACAGAAGTGCGCGTTGACATGTTATTTACTTTATTTGTTTCGAATTTTCTATTTTTTATTCTCGCGTTATTCTAGTGTTATTGTAAACGTCGTTAATTTTGTCTTTCAGAAAACGTAGAAGTGGAGTAGGCGAGTGTGCAAGTTAGAGCTGAAAGCATTCGAACAAGCTTAGAAGCACTCGCACTTTGACATAAATAGGAATCACAAAGGCCGAAGGCTTGATGTTAAACATTACCTTTGAGACTCCAGCAACACCATCTCAGGTTCGGAGGCTTCGTTGTACCCCTGTATAGAAAGGGGCACGAAACACTTTAAGATAGCGAATATACTATATCAATATTAAGGTTATCGAGTTTACTGCAAGAGACGCGTAGTCGGCCGGCAAAAGCTGTTGGAAAAATACCTTTGCAAAAGGGGATAAATAGACAAGCAACTCTATAAACATGAAAAATAGCTTAAGAATAATGCAAATATAAGAAAATGTTTTATAACAGGCACTCTATGGTGCTCTTCCTGATGCTGGTGCAACGCGCATGCACGTCAGCCAGAATCAAGTCAAGAAACAAAAAAAAAATGTGCCCACGCTGTTTTCACACCTAAATAATTTTGCACCTCACAGCCTCTGTACACTAGAATTCATTATTTATAGCTTGCGGTAATGGAGCGTGACATAGCCAGCCACTGAAAGACCAAGCCGGAAGAGAAACAGGAAGTTAATTAGGCCTCTGTAGCCACCGTTAATTGGATGAATCATTACTCAGGCTATCTTATTGTTTACTGCTTTCCTTTTGATTTAATTTCTGCCTCGTCGCTTTAATGTCTCATGACTCAGTGCAGATCAAACGGCCGCTAATCCACCAGGGCAGCCGGCGCCAACTATAGCCGAGCTTATCTGTAAAGATAACAAATAAAAACCGCGTTTGCGACATGCCAAAAAAAAAAGGTAAAGTAGCAGTCCTCGGCATAGTACTTCTTTTTTTTTCACATTGCAAATTTGTTTTGAGATACGCAAATTTAAGTAGCCCACCCCTCCATTTCATTCAAATAAAAGCCGCAAAAAACATACGATAGCAGAAAAAAAGGTTGAATGAAATCACCTATTATCCTAGCATATTTTGTGACTATCACCAAGTTTTCCACAAAAAAAAAACGCAAACGATACTATTGAGTTGCAAACATGGTAATCTCACCACAGCAAAATGGATAATGGCCTATAGACTCACTCAGGCTACTTATAGATCAGAATGTAGTTCTGCGACTTCGAAGATTCAATCTTGCCGCAGAATGTAGTTTCAAAAAAAAAAAAGACATTTGATAACAATCTCGCATTTCTTAACACCTTACGGCGCTTTCAGTCGTATAATACCGATTTGACCAATGGAGGTGTTGATGCGCGTGTATATTTGTGTCCGTGCGCGCCTGCGTGAGACGTGTCTGTGTGTAGGGGGCTATCAAGTATATTGTGGGCAAGAATGTCGGAAAGTATAGGAGCGAAGGTTTCAAATTCAACGCATTATTAAGCTGTCATCATCGGTAATTGAGAGTTATTTCATCTAAAAAGCTTTGTTAGAATATACAAAATTTCAATAGAATCCTGGCACATTCGTGAATTTTTATTATTATACAGAAGTGTTAGTAGCCTCATGTGTCATTTTCTATTTGGGTCACGCGATGTGGACTTCAGTGATGCTCGAATACATTTAACAAGCGATCGATACTACTTGTGGGGTTGCAGAAAGGATCGCTTTCGAAATATACAAATTAACTTTTCAGTAAATAGTTACTGAAAAGGTTCAGCTTAACACGAACTCTTTGAATGAAAGCATTGGGTGAACTGTCTTTATAAGTGAGGAAATGTAAAGAAACAGTTCAATCTGGAAGACGAGCCATGAAGGGGTTCTGGTATCGCATTTTATATTTTAAGGATTAAATACAGTTGTAAATTGACACAACGCTGCATCACTGTATTGGCGATCTCATTGACTGAATGCGACAATATCTTTCGTTTCTTTTTTTTTTTGAAACACTACTTCTCGTTAAACGTAGCCCCTCTACTACTCAAGTCTTGATCAATAACACAACATCTAGAATATAACACATCACCGACACTATATATAGCTTATTCGTCATAAATACACAAATTAACAATTCACACAACCGCATGATTATTAGGAACAAATGTGGAGCTTACTGAAAGTTTCATATCGTATCACACTATGCACGCATCCCTGCAGTGTATTGCCATAATGACTCCATGGGAGAACTAATGCAGAGCAACAATCTCGTTTATGACATCACCTGCGTGTTGATTCAAAAGCGATCCTTTCTGCAACCCCACAAGTAGTATATATCGCTTGTTAAATGTATTCAATTTAACTAATATCCCGCTTTGTACAAGCATAACTTGCCACGGCATTCTTGGAGGTTATGGTATGACAATAACGCCACGACCATTCCGATTTGAACGCGTTTTTTCTCCTTCGATTTCATCCATTCCTTCTAGCTCATTGCACCGCGCGCCCAGTTCGATAGTTCAATTTATTCTTGGTTCGCAAGCCAGGGGCGAAACAGATGACTGAAAGCTTGGAGAGTGGCCAATATAGTATCCAGGGGTGGACGCTCTAAATGTGCCTTCGCCGTGCAATTCACGATGCGGTGATTCATACAATGTTGGAGCAGCATTCGTTATAAATGAATATGTGTATCTCGATCAAGCGAAACTTCGCTACCTTTTTCTCCCGTGTGTGCGGCAAGAGTTTCGAAAGAAAGTCAGCTGCACGGAGATAGCCTAGGTATCAGACACTTAGGCGCTGAGTTTTCAGGAGCTGCGTGCGATGTGGTTTAGGAGCCACACTTTTAGCAAATAGCAAAGAGCGCTTCGATGGCGTCATTCCCCTATGTTTGCTTGGCACACGAAACTTTTCTTTTTCTTTGTGTTAGCGGCAAACATGGAGAGTATGGGTCCACAGTAAGGGCGCGCTGCCGCAATGTGTCGGGTGCAAATAAAATTTAACAGATACCTTATTCAACGAAAAAGGGCTACAGGAGCGAAGCTTAAATTTATTCCGACAAAAACTATGCCTTTATTGCATAGTCTGCTTTCCTGCACTACAACAGCAATACTAATGACTCCTTATTGAAAACTTTGCATGTTTCAACGGCAAATTAAATGTTTTAAATTTTGTCTTGGATGTTGTTGCTAGATTCAAAGTATTTGTCGGTCTTTTAGGACTGGTGATTACGTATTGCTTACTGCTTTTCCGACAAAGAAAGAACAGCGCATATACCAGACGATGCCCATTTCGTCTGAACGTGCGACATAATAAACACGGCCATTGTTTTTTCAAAGTAAGTATATAACAAAGGAACTCGGACCAACACAGCTGTTGTAGATAAATATTGCCGCGAGAGGGGAAAAACAGAGCTGGGGTTATTTCTTCTCAACCGTAAACAAAATATTCGGTGGTGTGAATTTTTTTGTGTGGAAGATTCTGCGATCTTCTCTTGAATTCCGCTTTGCGAGGAATGCAGGATCGCACTGAAGATTTCAAGACCATTTCCTTATCTCTTACAACACAGTTCGGCACATGCAACGCGTAAGGAATATATTCTGCTGAGACTATAACTGCGCGTATTTATCGCTGTTACTTACTGAAGTAGCGTATGATATAAAGGCAAAGATCTTTGTCACAAATCTGTCATGTTGGCAAAGTAAGAATAAAAGATGTTTACCCTAGTTCATACTTCTTTGAACGGAAACTGATCCGGTCCACTTTGTTGGTACAGTGGTACGGTGCTAGGCTGCAGAGCCGAAAGTCGTTTTCTTGATTTCAGCCATGGTGGTTGCAATTCGGTAGAGGGGACAATGCAGGCAGTTCGCGTGCTGAGCAATATCCAACACATTGAGAAGTCCCATGTGGTGGAAATTTCCAAAACCATTCTCTATGACGTGCCTCACAGTCATATCGGTAGTTCTAAAAGAAAAAGAAACACTACAGAAATGCCATGTAGGCGAAGAGTGTTCCTAACGCATTTAATATTACGTGACAGAATCCCAAAAATACATCAAGAGTGAAAATACGTGAACTCCGCTGTGAGTTGCTAGTATAAAGCTGCCCACCAGTTAAAAATTGTGCAGCAATGCAAATTCACAGGGGTATGGATTAAAAACACTGTGAAAGGGTTCTGGTCATGCTATAGAGTCATACTCTTCAAAGCGAATCTCGAACTTCCTTCAAGTATTTTTTTGTTTTTTTGTCATGGCTAAGATATAATGAGAAACACGAATAACTGTGTGATTGCTTTTATTCGGGTGATGCTCTTACTGTATAGGGCTGACACTGTCGCCTTCTTTCGCAGAAACTTCAAGACCCGACTGAGTGACCTCATGATGGCAGGCAGCAAGCTCACCCTCCTGGTATTCTTATTCGCTGTCGTCATACTGCCGGCAGTCGTCAACTGCAGGTCCCTCTTCCAGTGAGTGGAGTTTCACATGCCCCTCCGACACACTGAATACTCCCCCTCGTTTTATCTGATAGCACTTCAATAGCGCGTGATTTTTAACGGTAACAATCAACTTCATTATTTAGTTTTTGAAGATGATAGTTCATTAAAAGCAAATGAAGGTATTCAGTACCTTTTGGCGAGTCCTACAGCCTTTGCGAGATCTCTTTGTGAGCCAGCTGCCGGTAAAGCTAATAAATTTTGCCATTACTGACAAGTAAGGTTTTATTAGTGTTTTTAACTCACCATCTACCGTGTGACATCTATGTTCTCGGATGTGCCGTAAGTGGCTGTACATAGTTTGTCACTTCGAATTGAGAACGACACTGTTTTGTGCCATGCACTGACCGTAATGGTGAATATTAAAATTTGAACATCAGCTACAGACATACCTTCCAAAAAATAAATGAAAGAAACTGCGTGAACATTCTCCTAAATAAAATACCTGCACAACTGGCCATCATTCCTCGTAACAAGCAGGTCTAGATTTATGGTTTCGCTGGATGGCTGATATCCGCCACGGAACCAAAATTGAAAAAGTGGAAGAGTTTGCAGTGGCACAAATAGAATATAACAATAGTGGAGATTTCTTGTCTCAAGATGACAACACAACTTTGAGTTTTCCCATAGTGGAGGGCTCCGAAATGTTCAGACCATTTCGTGGTTTTTCAACGTCCTCTTAAAATACGTACCCTGAATGGTTTTCAACGTACCTCATAACCACCCGTGCTCGATCATTCTCACCTCCATCGAAAAAGCGGCTGCTTTGAAACAACATACCCTAATACTACTTACAAGATTGTGGGTGTGGGCCTCTTTGTGTTCATAACTAGAAAAAGTCACCACTAAAGCGATAGGCTACAGGAAATTCGAGCTGCGTCGGTTTTCGAGCCTGCAGGTCACATTTCGAACACTCGAAGTACTTTCTGTTTGGCGCGTCACACAAACTAATGTTTTGAGTGGAGTGAATGAGCCACTTGTTCGACTTTGACTAAGCTGGATGTGGAAGGCCGCGTGCAGCAAAGCGGCAGCCTGACATGGTGCCCATGACTTTGATTATTCGTAGCTGCTTTTGATTGAACGCTCTATTTCAAAATAATAGGCGAACTGCTCATCAATTAAGGATATGTGGAGGGGCATAATATCCGTAGGTTTCAAAAACGTCTCCAAAAATTTACCATAAAGCAAGCAACTAAACCTCCTCAGGCGTTCGCGTTTATGCGTAAGCACGTTGAAACAGTAGAGTGCATTTGTGCACCATGTCGCACAGGAGTTGGTTTATGGAAATGAGGTCTGGTCATGTAATATTAATGAAACCATGAGAATCCAGTCAGGGAGGATGTTATTGTCTTGTGGCATGCTCTTATTGGCGTAGTCGTGCTCAGTAGGCGCCATGATTCAGCGTGTGTCCTCCGTGTTCTCAAGCTTGAAAAAGAGGTGAAGGATCGGCAGTGCTCTATTCCTAATCATCTCGATATGATGAACACTAATCCCCGTCGTCTGTCACGCGCTGCCGGTTGCGTGCCCTTCTGCGAAGTCTAAAGCACCATGAAATAGCCGCAGACGCGAGAAAATGTTGATCGTCGATAAATCCCTCCTCAAGGATAGGATCATCTGCTGCAAATAGAAGTAGTGAAAGGCATTCACTAAATGATATTGCTTAACTAACGCAGGGGACGCCTGAGCTATGAAAGCACTACGGAAACTGCGTAACGATGCACATAACAGGCAGCTTGGAGCTCTAATCAGAACTGCGTACAAGGTCATTCAACAGCGGCTGCCACCAATCTATAAATCTGGTGGATTTTTGAGCACGTATGAAAAAGAAAAGCTGAATAAAACTACGTAAGGCTCCAGTTTGCCCGGAAATGCACGAATCTGTTTTGTCTTAACTTGTGGGCTAGTTGATTGGTCATTTTTAGTCAGGAAACAGTGCGGTAAAAACTATGACAAGACATAGGAAATAGCAATACAACGCACGAAGCGTCGGAATGCTGATTGAAGATTTTGTTTTTCAATTTGCCAACGCATCACATGACCAGCAGTTTATAATGTTGCTAACGTTACGGGACACTGCCTTGAACGTGGCTCGCAACTACTAACTTTTACAGCTCACATTTAATATAATGCCCAATGCACGAAGAATACGTTAGCAAGGCCGTCTATATCTATTGTTCATAATTATTTCGCTCATTGTCATATATTCAACTAGAGATTTACACAGTGTATGCTAGAATAACATTTTTAGCAATACCTCATGGCACAGATATTTGCTAAGAACCACACGTGGTGGCTCCGTGATAACTCTGCTAGGGTGATGACCCGCAAGCAATAGGTATCAGTTTTGAGTCGTGCCATGCTGGTCTCATTTCTGTCGAGGTCTCATTTCTTCGTCAGTAAACGTTCAATAAATCTAAATAGCTGAAGTTGTCCAGTGGCCTTTATTACTCCGTTTCTCACACAAAATGAGTGGGTGTAGCATGTCGACCTGAAAAACAACCAGCCAGCCAGCAAGAATGTTGGCAAACAGTGGTCCAAGAACGCGTGTCCAAGACAGTGATATTTGTTCCAACAATTCAACTCTGATTAAAATAACACGTGCTACCTCTAAACAGGGCTCTGCGTTAGAATAGATGTTGCACTTTATATGTGCGTTTGTTTGCTGTGCGTTCGTGCGTATATGTGCATTTCTACGTAACGAGCTATCTGCTTTGTATTTGTCAAAGGTAAATGATCAATAGCCTGTAGAGATTAAAGATTTCGTCCCAAGCACGTGGGTCTCTCGCCCTTTCAATAAATTTTACTTATTTTAAGTTATTATCCTCTCGTCGTGGAAATACAAGGGGCTCGCATAAACTAGATCAGCTTACGTCTAATGTAGTGCGATTCTGTAATTTCCAACAGTATTTTAATACACCATCAATGTAGCGAACATTGCGACAATAATATACTAAGGAGCATCTAGTTAATATTTCCACCACCATCTTACAACTCTAATTTACTTTGAATTAGTGTTCTTTGCTATGAGTAAGAGGCAAGCTTATAGTTATTGAATATTTCGTCATTCTTCAAATTGTGCACTGTGCTCAGACGCAGGCATTATACCTACGCGCAGGTGCTTGCGTGGCAATGGTTCTTGCGCGACAGCACTAAACTATTTGCCGCAGATACCATGGCATTGACGGTGCTTTCAGTAGCGCAATCGGCGTCGTTGGCAGGGGGAAAATAGTCAACGTTGTCCGAGAGAAAAAAGATATCAAGTGAGATGCAGATAAATAATGGAAATCTTGCGTTTCTGTGGTAACCGAGCTATTGCTTTCTGTGTATAAGATGGGTGTTTTATGACAGAGCAATGCCGACGCTTGAAACATTTCGTGCAGTTGCTGAGGTCACCACCCATCGCAATTTGTAGATGTTGCAGTTTTCTTTGCCTAACCCAGAGCTTGAAGAAAGTTTTTATAATGCCATGTAGTATAAAAATAGGTAACAGACGTTGAAAAACAAATGAACATCATGCCTTTGTCATATCACATGGTGCACAGTCATGCGGAGAAAATGCAATGGGTTTAATATAAGAAACACGTGCAACCAACTTTATGAAAGGAAAGAGTTAGAGGTCCTCTCTGTTCGCTGAATAGTCGTATCACAAGTGAGAAGTGTGCCGCCACCGGCAGCGCGAGTCATTTCTCCGAGGGTGTGCGAAACGGAGATGAGCTTCTGCGCTTCGGAGGTGTCCTTCCGAAAGCGGGAAGCTGCGGGTCGTAAATGATTCGCATGAGCACACGCCCTTGTCGACGACGCTGCGAGGCGAAGTACCCGGCTATTACACCACCCTGCTCTGTATTTCGTTCCCCCGTGCATCACGCACATCAGCCGCAGATGACCACGTATACCCGTGCCAGTGCCATCAAGGTCTCGCCAGCCGCCAGCTTTCAGTACAGTGGCATAGTGGTGGTGACACCGCTAACGTGGCACAAAGTTACGACGTAATGAAAGAGGCGATGCATTTTTGAAACGCGCGACCATGCGGTCGGTCGTTATTGGTAAAAAAAGTGGAACGGGTGTTGTAACCGTGCCACTTAGGGCATCCGATTTTCATTGCCTCTACAGAGGTTGTACGTAGGAGTTATGGTGAATCTGACACCACAGCCTTTTCTATGGAAATACATAATAGATTATCAACGACATTGGCGTGTGTGAACTGTTGTAGTTGGTCAAATGACGCACCCTATTATTTCCTCGTCACTGGCGTGTATCGCTCAAGCGTATTCACATAAAAGCTCAGTGGTATCTCCTGAACGCTGGTCACATGTTCGCTTAGTAAAAATTTTGATTCTTTTAGTTTTGCGTTCAATGTACTTCGCAATCTGGACGCCATAAAATTGCTGCGAAATAACCAGTACGCCTAATCATATGTAGGCTGTATGGTAAGCCATTCCTATGAATCACAATACTGCCATGCACCCAACTGTAGGACAAAACTACAATAAAAGTGTTTAAAATTCCGAGAAGGCTGAGCTTAACTGGCGATCTTAAATTCGTCTTTGTCTGGGGATCGCAGTATTGATAGAGGCGTAACACTCTGTCAGCGCTATATGAGCTACCAAGGTGGTTTAATGGTGCGTCGCATTTCAACCAGTATTAGCACCTCAATGAAAAGCTTTCACTATGAAGTCCCGGCAAATATATTGCCAAATATCACCTCTTCATGCATACGAGTACGCTATAGTGTCAAGAGCAACAAGGCAGAAAAAGCACAGCAGCAATGCAAGCTTATCCGGGCACTATCGCCCTATCGTGATGAAGCACTTCTCACTCGTATTCCTAAGATGTAGGACAAGCCATCATCACTAATTAGCTCATATTAAGACAGACACATCCGCACTACGCTCGCTGAGTAGTTCTATTCATTTCTTCTCTGTGAACTCACGCAGGAAAACTAATGTATTTATAAAACCTACTCGAACAATTATGTCTCATTTCGAATGCATAATTACTTTTAAATGAGAAACATTGTCCTCCACCTTTTGTTTCCACGTTCACTTCAGTGGGCAACACACGTTCTGGCCTATGGGGCTGACTCATCCCGAAAATAGTGCATAATTTGCTATAGCACAATTGTGCAAAATTGACTCCGCCTTAGCCACTCCGTCAAATCTTGGACCAATAGTGGACAGTGGTAACATGTGTCGACATGTATAGCTTGACAGGCGTTTCTAGTAATTCGTGTATTGCATTGTTAAAACGTTGATCCCTATCGTGCAGAGGTATGTGCCTAAGACGAATAGTTTTTTAGCAATTAAACTTTCACAATACAAGCAAGTCTGAGAGACATAATTATTTGTGCTGTAAATTAAAAACGTTTGCAAGAGAGAAAGAAGGAAGCCAGACACAATGGATAAATAAATGCAGATGAGTATTTGAAATTCACAACTAATTGACTACCCTACAGCGGAAAGGCTGGACGAGAAAAATAAGTTTTATTCACAGAATGTATGAGAAAATGTGGTCTTTGTTAAATGAAAAGACAAATTTTGGGCGCTATTATGGATGAGATGGTAGAGGCGCACGGGTGTTGCCGCCGACGCAACAACTGTTCTGTGCTGCAGACCAACGACAGGCAGCAGTCCCGTAGCAAGGTGAATGATTTAGAGGGAAAGCTCCTTTGAGATCGCCACAGGCGTCATGTGTGTGGAGTAGTTATCCACCGCCGCCTTTGTTCGTAACCACTATTGCACAAAAACACAGTAAATAAAAAAAAACACTGATGACACTACGGCATTTAGACCCCGGTCCCCTGCTTGCCAGCCCAGTACTCTACCACTGATCCACGCCGGTGCTTCTTTTCTTTGATGCATGAAAATAATCTAATCAAATGTTGTTATACACACACACACACACACACACACACACACACGCACACACACACACATATATATATATATACATATATATATATATATATATATATATATATATATATATATATATATATATATGCAATCATCATCATCATCATCATCATCAGTCTGGCTACATCTACTGCAGGACAAAGGCCTCCCCCATGTTCCGCGAGTCAACTCAACTCAGTCCTCTGCTTGCTGCTGCTAATTTATACCCGCAAACTTCTCAATTTCATCTGCCCCCCTAACCTTCTGTCTCCCCCTAACCCACTCGCCTTCTTTGCGAATCCCGTTAGTTACCCTTAATGACCAGTGGTTTCCTGTCTACGCTCTACATGCCCGGATATATGCAATATATCGTTTCAAAATTATGCTCATACATTGATATGCATTCGTGCGCTAAATGCAATTTGGTACAGTCCTTCGAACCTTTGAAAGTCCGCTAATTAAACACACATGTCCAGAAGTGTAAGCCACTCCTCAACTGTGTTGAAAGTCTCAACAACAGCACGCCCATTAATTGGCTGCTTCTTTTCGAAAAACCGACTTTGTCGAGTGAGGTGGCTTGGTATGCTTGTCCATCATGTGATCTCCATAATAATTAAAGACCCAATAACATCAATAGGTCATATAGCGCATTACTGTTAATGATCTCTTTGAACGGTAAAAACGCAACATGTAGCATAAGGTGCAACAGCAAACTCTTTTCTGATGGCTTTATTGAGAATGTACCAGAGATGACACGCATTATGGCAATGAATAAAACAATGCTTGATTGTTTCAGGCTCGTTTCAGCTTGCGTAATTTAGAGACCAGTGCACGTATATACATTTTTCATGAAGATACGTGTTTACTGGTAATGTGGTGGTGTGTAGCCTAAAGGAAAACGTTTCAGCTCCTGGCGATATACATATTTACGCGCACGGTAGAACACATCATGAACATTTCGAGATAAACACTATTGTCGGTAAAGAGGTTCAAGTAAAAGGGTGCTGCCAAATGGAGCAGTGAGTGTCGTTCTGTATACACTTCACAGATACTTTAAAATAATCTGGCTTTCAAGAACTGCATAGCCTCAACAGTTTCTCTCAAGAAACCCCATGGTTGCGAGTTTTCATCACTTCTTGTCGTGCCAAAAAAAAAAAAAGGGAGGTGGTAAACAAGTCTTTTTAGGATAACGGTCAGAATAAATGGGTGACACATTCTTAAGGATAAAAAATCGTATCACCAGTTGTGGTACAAACAGACGCACAAATTTAAGCCCCCCCCCCCTCCTCCCTGCGTATCTTCGCATAGCTTTCATAAAGACCTCTAAATGAAGCAGCTGAATATCTTGTGAAATGCCTGGATATATACGCAAGAGCAATGCAATACTTGTAGAATGTAGACAAGCTTTATTGCAAGAAAGAGGTTGCGTGCCTTAGTTCTCGAAAAAATGGAAAGATGTCGTCCTTGCCGAGTTGACACCTGTCGGCGGATAGTGGTGATAACGGACATCTAGTAAGAACCACTGTTATGGTGGTTATCAAAAATCACAGCAAGTAGGCGTACCGGGGCTCCATGCCTATGAATATTTGCAAAAACTAAGGGAGTTAGTGCCCAGGTGCCCAGCCAGAATCCTCTGGTTTTGTAAAAAAAATGATATTTGCTCCAGAAATTTCTCAAAAACGCATAGTAGTGTTTACTGTTTCCTTAACACTCATTGTCCATGCAGAGGAAGGTAATGTTATCTGCGTAGGCTAGAACATTAATTTACTTTTCTTCGTATCTATGTTCTCTAATAACTTAATTAGGCAGTACACTAAAACAAAGTGGTTCCACGAATACAAAAAGTAAAGTAGAAAGCAGACACCACTGACGGAGTGATGAATTTGCCAATACCTGAAAGAGTGTGATTCACAATTATTTTTGTAAAATTTTTGTAACATATTATAATGCCATTGTATCGTACATCTCTTAACTGGAGATGTATTAGCAGTCGAAACAAAAAAAAAAGATCCTGTCATACCTTACGAAAAGCCTTAGCAAGGTCAATCTGAAAAAGAGCTACCTGATTCATGCTATCGTCAATACACTCAAAAACTATCACTACATAGGTATTCGTCTTTATAGAGCGGCCTGTTATTCCACATGTGTAATGGCCGCCTACATATTTACTATTCATTGTTTGCATCCTGTTTGTGAGGATTTCAGCAAATATCTTATAATCAATGTACAAAACAAAATAGGACTATATCCAGTTACTATTTTTAAAACGGCATGGTGACTACTTTTTGGGGTCAAAATGGTATCGCCCTGACAAAAGAAAGGATGATGTTTCCAAAGTTCACTGGCCCCTTTAAAAAGTGTTTAAGGAAAGAAATGTGAAGTTCTTGAACTGTCATGTTAAACTCCGTGCCAAGGCCATTTGGGCCTGAAGTTTCGTACCTCTGCAAAGTTTTGATTGCAATCTTAATTCCTTCCTTCTTTATCGGTCCATCAACGGTGAGCCGTTCATCCTCCTGTATGTATGACATTAAAGTACTGAATCGTTAAGCTTTTCACCAATGTGGCTGTTGATTCTTGTGTGTCGTTGCAAATGGAGCCATTTGACACAAGTTGTAATATATGTTTGCATAATGCGTGTCACTTTTCATCCTCAAAAGCTCTTTTTGTGGGCTCATCATCACTGAATCAAATTACACGACAACGAATCATTGCTACTCCCTATGCTTCTGTATCATGCTTACGCGTTTGTGGTCCAACTATATTTATTTCATCCCCGTACAGCCCTGGCTCTTGGCTTTGATAAGCAAGCAGCTTGTAAGAAGTTGCTGTAATGTGAGTAATAAAGCAATTTATAACGGAAAAGGAAACAACCAAGGGCCACATAATGAGAAATATGTAACGACTGGGGCGTTCATTGCTTCAACCCCTTACAAAAGCTTCATCTTGTCCACCCAATAACTATGGCGCATACTCACTGTGTAGGATTTTGGGGTCACAAAAGCTTTTGGCATCATGTTTCTTCATCGTCAGCAACAGCACAAAAAATTGCACCACGCTCCTTGCAAGGGTTGCAGCCGGTACTACGCTACTGCAATAATGACGAAGGATGGGATAGTGAATGCCTGCCTACTACACAATTATTATTTAGGTAGTGGGTACCCTGCAAGTGTGCTTGCAGCAGCTACCCTAAGAATGATAAAACAAGGGATCTGAAAAGCCACTTTTGCAGCTTTCGCTATGGCAGTGTTGCGCGTTTCGCGCAGGCCTAACGGTTAGTTTGATCGCTACACGAAGATCAAGCGTTCAGTTATATTGCCTAGTCCCAGCCGAAATGAAAGTTTTTACAATACTCTCTATATCTTCTTATCGAGCAGTCGCGACCGGCGCAGTGGTATCTCTGACCAGCGGCTGGCTGAACTCGAGACCCTGGCTGGGCTCAAGTCCCTGCGGCACCGGCTCAAGGGCATCACGTTCCCAGTTGCCTACGGACTCGTCGATCCAAACAAAATGTGAGTATCTGCATTGTTGCCTACTATGCATTTTATTGCGACTACTTTTTTTTACTATTTACTATTTCAAGGACATCGATTATAATGGCTTACATAAACCAAGAAATTTTACGTTTGAGGACGTAAAACTTTCTCAGTCCTACCAAAATAACTTTGGGGAACCTTCTGAATCGTACGCCAAGCAGTGGAATAATAACAATCATCTAAAGCAGAAATTACTTGTTTTTACACAAATACATAGTACAAGTGGCGACAGTGTTTGGGTTACTCTAAGCAGTAAGTAGTAATGTGATCGCCATGGTGATTATCTTACTATCGCTGCAGTGATCACTGACCATAATTAGTGGAATCTCATGAATACGTCATACGATGCGTCTTTGCAAGAACCTAAGAATTCATAAAGAAATTAAGCTCGAATTAGATACTCTAAAATTGCAAAAAACCGTTCACTTTATTAGTTTACACCTTTTTTATCAGGACTGCAATGAACAGCAACACAGAAAAGCCATCATTCCAGCTGCATGGCCCATTTCCTCCAACTGCATTAAATGAAATTACGAACAGTGAACTTCTCGTGAAGGCTTTCACTATGAACGAGGGTGAGAACAGGTGAAACGATCGTTTTCTTAGTGAGCAACGACATATCGACAAGTAATGAAGACAAGGAAGAAACAGGGGAAATTATAGGAAGTTTTTTAACTATAGTGTAGTAACTACAAGATGAAAAATGAAAACAAAAGTGAGCGAAAATAATACTTGCCGCTCATAGAAAACAAACCTACACGTTACGCTGTACATATTGCATGCAGGTATTCTTTGTGGTGACCATTAAGCTTTTTGTGGTAACAGTAGCACAAAGGTGACGGCTACGCTGGCCTTATTAGCTTTTGCTATCTGTCTCGCACAGCGGCAAGAGGAAGCGATCCTTCGAGTCACAAGAGGAGTCCCAGCAGCCGCAGCAGCAATCCCAGAGCGATCGCCAAGCAGGCGCCACCGACGCGTCTTCATCATCATCGCTTTATCAGAATATTGTGGACGACGCCGCCCTCGAGGACTACCTGACCGGCCTGCCGACCCCCGACGTGACGGCGCAGAGGGTCCGCTCACCCGACCAACTCCTCAGAATATAGAAGGGCATCCAACAGCCTTCGTTAAATTATCCTTTCCTGTTAGGCATCCACATTCAACAAAGCCTGTGTTCTGTGCTCCCTCTTTCACAAAACGATGCTCCCTTGTCGTACACCACTCGTGAGCTATTCGTTCGGCGGTGATGCTGACGATTACGCAATAGTGGCTATAATTTGGGGTGTCTAATGTACTGAGACCAAATGCGCAATATGAAAAAAAAATCTGAACACACTCCCATGAGAAATGTTTACGCAGCCCGACTCCACAGCTACTTCTGAACAAAAGAAAAAAAAACAACTGCGGGGTTTTTAGGAAACCTGAAGGTGGCACTGATGGTGAATGAAAATGTACCAGATAAAGTGTATTTAACGCTGTCACATACACATGAAACGCCATGACAGCTTGACTCAATCATTGTGTTTCCTCAGACGAAAGCACAGTCGATCACGCTTGTTTTAAAAACTTGCGAGCCCGCTGCGCTACTAGCATCCATTTATTTTGCCACGATGCTTTGTTTCGTGCCCATTTTATATTGTATATTCATTTTGATAACCTGAAATATTAGATGACTTGTCCTACTGTGCTTAAAGCGCCTTCAATACTGCCGACAATGTGACCAATCAATGAGATTAGGTGAAGTTATGCCTGCAAGGCTGAAAATATATCGTTGCGGGGGTGGCGCAGTGTTGACTGCAGAAGCTGCGCTGAGAGAGTCAAGGCCGCTGCCACGAATAGATAAGTAAATATTCAATGTATTGCATCGATAAGAACACTGATGAATTCTAGCTAGCCAGCAAGAAATAGATTTACTTATAATACTATCAAATGCCAAAGCATACGAAGCAATAACGTAGAACATCTGCACATGGTCAGCAGTTATGAGTACATCAGAACGTGCATTTTAGGTTTTAAGCAGGTGCCAAAAAATATTGAACAGGAGCAGTAGTGTCTTTTTCATTCGCATTCACAACTGGTGTCAGTCATTATCACCGAGGTTAGGATTTTTCGACGTTCGTAGGTTGCAGCTCCTGTCTAGTTCATCACAGCTCTCAGAAAGAGTACCCCATAGCCAATTCTGCTATCCGCGAGAGCGTTCAAGACGTCGCAGGTACATTTAGATCAATAGCAAATTTTTAGGTTAAATGGTCAAGGGAAACTCTAAGAAACACTCAGTCAGCCCCCAAGAAAATAAACTGTATAGAATAAAAATGACACATGAGATTGGTGGTTACATCTTGTCTATGTAATGATGAACATGACTTGGTGAAAGTGCCGAATACTTCCGTATTCAACAAATATTTGTGTTGAAATGTTTTCGGACACGCAACTGCCTGACAAAGCGTAACGTTTCGCAGATAGGCATATCCTCCTTGGAAATGGCCACGTGATTGGTCAGTGAAAGCGGTGTCTACTTTATTTTATTCAGAAGTGTTACGTGTGTTTAAAAAACACCCTCAGCATAGCTAAATTCTGTACATCGCTGACACGAGCACAATATCGGCGCATGGCGCACCATTAAATTTAGTGAATAAAACTGTTTTATTAATTCCCAGCCTATGTAGCCTCAGCAATAGACTCTTGCTTATCAAGGCGGCTTCGCGCGATGAACCATTTAACAAAAAACGCAAAGCAAACAAAGGGAATGTTTGCTAACGCCTACAAAAATGTGCAGTGCGTTGCTTTTCAAACTGTAGTCTGCATTTTTTGAGAACCCACGCTGCTACTGATGTTACACATGAATCGTTTTATTTCAGGTGACTCTCTGTCAATGCGTGCAGTTAGTGAATTGAAAACATGCTTTCATGTAAATGTTCCACTGCAAACACTCTGTTCATGTATCATCGATTCCTTTGTACCGGATACCAATGGTGTTATCTCGGTGTTGAGCTGAACGTGTGATGTTTCGAAGTTGTATTTATTGAAATTAAGTTGAGCTAACTGCTTGAAATTTGTGGAGCTCTTCATTTTCGAGCGACCCATCAAAACACTTTAGCAGCTACTAACATCAATTATAGATGTCAGCGCGCGACGTCGGAAATGACGGTATACAATACTGGCTGTCAACCCAAAAAATATTATCTGTTCATCCGCCAACATGTTTTTCCTCATGTAGTGGTGCCTGCGTCTTTCATTTATTTACATATATAGTTAAACAATTGTTTCATTGTATTATATACATGATGTTGCCTGTTAACGCATATATTTTAGTGTTGCATACAGTTCTTCTTCGCTGCATTTTGTAAATATGGGTAAATATCTTTAGAGATTTCTGCTCAGTACTTGTGCTGATTAGGTTCTGTGTCGCAAAAATAAAAACGTACTGTTCGTCTGTTGGAACCGAGGTATAAGCCTGTTTCCTTGTCTCTGTATTTTACGTGTACCTACAGTTACTGAGGCATAAAAGTGGTTCTACATTTGCTTGAACACTGGAGGCTTCTTTATCCCAAGCCGCCTATCTTATATGACATAGCAAAGTATACGTTATTTTCGTTTCTTTCCATGGGTACCAGATATGCAATAGAACTTCTTAGAGTGACATACAGCTATCCACTAAACTGACTAACAGTTTGTTACGCCCTACCTGCTGGGGTGAAAAATTCACAAAGTGGTCGGCATGATTGTCGTACCAACTGGAACACCTATCTCTTTACAGGGCATCCAACAGGTAATGCTTGAGCGTCTACTCTGAGATTGGCAAGCTATAACGCATGAACATGCAAACCTCGAGGAACGTTGTATTCCTGCACAAAAGTGAACTTGAAATTCCTCGACTTGACAGTATTTTTCAAACAGTTGTCCTGCGAATTTAGTTCAGTTTCATCTGTTTATCGCTACATTTATCATTTCTGTTCGCCAGTGCGTAAGGTACTGAATTCGCAAAATCATATCTTGGTTGCTCTAAAAAGAAGAGACGCCTCATATCTACAGTCCATTAGGGAACACAGCGCTGTGTCTACAATGATATTGATACTTATGTACTTCCCCTCCTTGCCTTCTCTCTCTCTCTTCTACAACGGTTGGACACTCTAAGAATACACTAATTGCAGTCTTACTTTGGGTAATTGTTTCTATTTCTTTATGCTCTACGCATGTATGAATATTTCTGCCAGTAAGCATAGCTAAAGCTTTTTTATTTTTTAGTTTCCCTAAGAAAATTCGCAAGGCTTCATCTATTTCAGGCGGTTCCTTATACGTGCTATAATTTTGACATTTGTTGACATCATTTGTGCTTTCTTGACATTACAGGCGCCGCTATAAATATATGATTCCTTGGAAGTGTGAAACACTAGCGTTCGTTTACATGTAATAATTGTTGTGTCGTTACCACACTTTATAACTATGCCATTAACACTTGGCCTTTTCGTCTATCAACACCATCACATCACGATATACTAGTCTGTTTCTTCGTTTATTTATTTATTTATTTATTTATTTATTTATTTCGTTATTTAGACTTTAAAAGCCCCTATAGGCAATATATAAAGTGAGTATATAGACGAAAATGTTTGAAAACGTTTATATTGTACAAAGAGAGCTAACATATAAAGGATGACTTAAGTATAACGTTTCGTTTTTTCTACTACTGTATATGGGAACAAGATAGCCTTACTGGCCAAAAAGAGAGGTTTGAAAAAAAGAAAGAGGAGGAATCTGTGCTGCTATGGACTGCTAAGAAACTTCGCATCTCCATATATCTGCAAAATGCCTGTGACTATGTGGGAAATTTATGGTCTTCAAAAACGATGACTGGAAACATATTTGAACGAGGTATCGCTGCTTCACAGATTTAAATTAGTGTGAATAAGGTCGCAACGGTTCGTACTTTTTTCTCTAAAAATATTCTTCCAAGAAGAAATAAATCATAACGCCGAACTTAGCGTCCTCAGAGTAGTCTCCCCCTTTAGTGTACATTGAAACCACGCAATAAAGAATGTAGTGCAAACGATATCCATCGGTTACTTACTGTGCACCTTTCCAAAATTCTTAAAGCACGCACGCCATTAAACTGTACACACATGCTAAACAAATACTATCAAGCTCTCCATCACAAATAAAGGGCGTAAGTCAATTTATATCTATATGGAGTGCCTATACGTAATGAGGCTGACACACTTCTTATGTGCATGCTAAACTCTTTATGCGTTCACCGGAAACTCAATATTTAATATGCCAAACTGTATTTCACTAATTTAATTTGCTGAAACACAACAGCACGCAAAAACGAACCTTTGTGATCTGGCTTCAATATTCAGGACATTCTTTCTTTTTAAATCGGTCCCACAGTCAAGAAAACAAAATGTTTTCAACCACTGCAGCCTGAATGCCATCTTCTGTCATTGTGCAGTACATAGCAGCAAACATAGAGAGACACGCTTTCCCACGCGTGTCTGTAAGAGGCGGACGTTGAAAAAATATTTTGTGAGAAATTTATGAGATTATTACAGTTTAACAAATTGATAATGGTGAAGCCATAAAGATTGAATAGTGTTCGTGACACTGTGAGAGAAAAAATTGTCAGCATTGTTGCAAATGTAAAAGAAGTTTACTTTTAGAGTATCTAAGAAGCAACAAAATGTAATAGCACCCTACAATGTGAGGAAATTCTAGATGATATTATGCGACCTCGTCTGTAGAAGTCTTCTATTCGGTATATCTTGTAATAATTGTGCCACAACAGTGCGAGTACAAACACGAGACTATTACAAGTCAAAACAACCAAACGAAGGCAGTAAAGATAGCCTCTTTGCCTTCATTAAGTCAAGTGAGGGAACAAAAATTACAAAAGATACCGTCATAATTATACTTTCTATTCAAGCGTAATCTATTTCTATGCACATCTCGATGCTACTGAATGTATATGCATATTCTTATCGGCACATAGCTTCTATCGTGGAATTTATTATGCTATCTCTTTCATTGGGACACTCAAGTGGACCTTTATAAAAAAGCAAATAATGGCGACTTAGAATTGGCTTGTTTTATTGTGTGCCTATGTTTTTACTGACGTTCGCATTGTCTTTGAGTATTTTTATACTGACTACCATACTGCCGAACTAGGCCCGCTTTCCCACCCTTTTGTATTTGTATTATGCTGTGGTATGGTGAATTGTGAATCTATGCGGTCATGTCAGCCAGCCTCCAAGTTACATTGCAATACCAATACAGGAGACCAGTATATCCAGTTCGCTTGAGCTTCAACTGCTCCCCCTGCCACGAAGACTCCGAAGAGACCACGATAATATTCTATTGACTACTGTTCATATACGTGACCCCTGAAAACGCCTAGGCTGTGACGCCAGCTTTTGTACGTCCCGTGCAGGAGTGCAGAATGTGGTCTTTTTTTTGGGTTGAAAAGGATCTTTCTTTGCTCCTGGTTGCTTAGAAGATAAGGCACTGCACAGGCCATAAAGGCGAAGCGATCATATTACCCTGTCTTTCTCTTTGTCAATAGGATTAGTTGATAACGTATGCCCCATTATTTGTAAACTAGTATGTGTCAAAGAAAAGCTAACTCCTTTCGGCCACACGTACCGCCCACATGAACACAAATAAGTGCAGTCATAAGACCGATTTAGTTGAGCGTCCGCAGTCAGCACCGTACGGACACAGACTCTCATTGTGAAAGGCTGGCAGGCTGCACCCACAGGACTGCCGCGGACGCACAATGAAATGTGTCTATCGCAACTGAAGGTCAGATTGGCTGTTATTTTTGAATGCTGCAGCCACGAAATTCCAGTAATAAGCATGCATAACGTGCGTGTACGATATTTTCATTGATGACCATAAATTTAGACATGCATTATTCTGCATTTGAGAACCTAACTCAATGCACATAGGAAAAACTAATTTATCCAGAAGCGAGACCTGGATTGCGAATGGTCAAGAAATCTAGGACTCGTAACAAACTCCACAGACGTGTGTCTGCTCAGTAATATATCATGCACCGACACGGACAGAACACGCAATGTTACTCTCCGAATATCACGATAGCAATCGCAGGAGTTCCACTTACGCCTCTGAAACACAAACATGTCGATCAATGGCCCAGCCTTCAAACGTTTACTAAGTGCAGTCATACTTACTCGTCTTGGTTAAAAAAACACAGAAAATGATGTCATAATAAACCTTCAAACGAGATGAATGCTGATTTAGATTCTGCCTGCGAACTTACAATATATTATCATGCCATCTTTGAGATACCAATGCCAGAGTAAAAATGTGCTTCAGGAGCCCCCTCAAGCAAGCACGCCTGATTCGAAAACACCGATAAATGGTGTGACACTCCTGCTCGAGAAGACGACGCGGAATGCAACACTACAGCCCTAGTCTACGAAAGAGCTCAAATCAGACTCTCCTGCTGTCGATCCCGGATCTCATTAATTCAGCGAGAAACCCTTCGTGGGGAAGGCCGACGGCTTGACATACCCCGCGACCCCTGAGCCCGAGGCTGGCGCAAGCAAGCGGGCAAACGAGAAATACCGATGGCATACAGAATGGTTTCCACAAACGAAAGCGTACAACGCACTACCCAACCATTCCAGCTTCGCTGTACAACCTGGCTCGCATAACCTTGTTGACATCACACGCGCACACACACATATAACGCAGCACGTGCCGAATCTTAGGGCATACGCTGGTAAATCGGATTTCTGCATCCGGGAGTGTTGTATTCGCGAGAGGCAAGCGGGGCTTTCTGATCAAGAACCGCACGCAATAAGTGTCTCACTGCCAATAGCAGAAAGAAGCGGGACAGAAATGCCACAGGGAGTGCTTGGTCTTTGATACAAAGAAAAAGTGTTGAGGTTAGCGTGAGATGTACACGTACTGGGCGTTTGTACTGCACTGACTAAAAAGTAAAACACACACACAATGTCGCTATAAACACACGCATTTGCAACATTTGTAATGAGACAACAACCTATAACGTAAATCTATTCGGAGAAATATCGTTTCAGGCATATACGCATTAGCTAAATGCAACAGTTTCACTTGTACGGTGTCCTGAATGGCTGCATCAACCACTCGGACGGATAGGGGGGGGGGGGAGGTGCGGATAGAGGACGATTCTCTCATATGTAGGTGCATCGGTTGCCGAGGTTCATGGCACTACCCAATGGACAAGTGAAGGCTTCCGCGAAATATGAGAAGCTCTTCAGTGGTATGTTGCAGATGGTGTCTCTGGGCACCACACTGCCGCCGCACTGAATGAAGCAGAACGAGATGAAGAACAGCATGTCTTCAGAGTACTCTTCCAGTCCGGGCAGCCGCCTGTCCTGCAGGTACACCTCGGAGCGATACGCTGACCACAGCGCTGCACTGCCGCCGAACAGCAGGAAGGCCTCCTCCATGTTCTCAACAGTGTCCACCTAGCAGAAGCACAAGTAGAGGAGAAATCTACGACTGCAGATCAAAATTCGAATGTATGAAAATGGAAGGCACATTCGCTTTGTTCTAAACAATGATGAGCCAGGACGTCTCGCTACATTTCACAATTCATCATAGTGCTAGTTGTCTAAGACATTATATTACTTATTTGAAAAAGCTTGATATAAATGAGTTGCATAGCATTTATAGCCAAATGTTTTATCCAAAGCATATACATGTTCGTATGGGAAGTCAACGTACATTGCGAGTGATAATTTCACGTAAATTGCATATGAATTGAACGTACACTACTGATATTTATTCAGCATTAGTTTGATATATACACACGCAGAAATGACAGATGCAGTACATGCCCAAAATATTGAAGTCTGCATATAACGATTAGCACTAGGAATCTGTGATGGAAACAAAAGCAATACATAGTAACGTTTCTACAACATAGTAGGAGCGCCCTAATGAAACCTTTACGAGAGACTAAAATGAGTTAGGTAACGCGACCGTTAATGAAGAGACATTAAGAATTGCTAAAAATGTTGTTACGAAAATTTCTCTTTCATATGAGCAAACAAAAATTTGCGCCATTTTCAGAAGGCGAACCATGGTGGGATGTGAAGCAGCAGCGGTGCGCACGTCATTGAACGGGCTGAAACAGGCGTCAATGCGGGTGCTGGAAGAACGGTTTGAAGCGAAACTCAGTGTGGCTTTCACTCAAATAAACGTTTTCTTTGAACTCGAAGACATGGGAGGTGGGTCACGTTTCGTGTGAGTTTTATCGCAGATAAATGAGCCAAAAAGTACTTCCGCTCGATGTGTGGTCGGGCATTGCGGACGGTGGAAAAGGTGAAGCGAGAGAGTAGTGTGTTTCGAGTGGGCGGAGGAGCAACAACCCCTAGGTGTGTTGGGAGGAACAGGCAGCTGCTGCGGGTGAGGGAGAGAGTGATGTCAACGCACAGCAGCAACTCTATCTATTTGGCATCGTTCCAACAACTCGTTCTAGAGAAACGCGGTGCGGCGCGTTGGCACGGATACACGGACTGACAGCGTTACTCGGGTTAGTGAAAGATCTGCTTCACATCCAAAACGTATTTTTGTTGCAAAGGCAGGTGCACCATTTCGCTCTTCAAGTATGGAACACTGGGAGTACAGAAATCAAACGCATAGCAAAAGCGTGACTTCAGCCATCTCGCCTTGAATATTAAGCGTTCGATGCACGCCCATGCACTGTTGAGCTTCTCTCGATGCACCGGGCTGAGTTCGTAGCGCGTATCGTAGAAGGACTCGAACAGCGCCTCGGAGACCAGCGACCCGATTGCTCCGTACCGTAGCCCGGAGATGGTCTGTTCATCGTAGATAGGCAGCGTGGCGGCTATGGGAGACACCACCACCATGCGGCAAGCACGGTCGTAGAAGCGGTAGTAGTTTAGATGGCCCAGCTTTGGAGCGTAGCAGCCGCTAACCACCAATGAGCGTCTGAAGTTAGTTTCGTTGATAAAAAAAAAAAAGAATTGAATATGAAAGTAGTGCAGATAAGTAGAGCATAGTGTAGGAGTGAGGGACGCTCCAGCGCTACCGATATGTAGCAAATAACGTCGTCGATATGTAGCAAATAACGTCGTAATACGCGGTACAAAGTACCGCGTATTACGTTGTATAAAACCACGGCTACGTACTGCGTCACCAACGGAACACCCGTCACAGTAAGAGGTCACTAAGATAGAAGTTTAGAATATGTATCACATATAAGTGTACTTTGTGCCTGAAAAAATAAGGGATTGAACCTATTCGTTGCGGTGCTCCTTATTCTAGAGTCAATTGAACAACCACGTCTTGTTGCTTTGGTATCCTCTGTAAGTGTGACGATGTTTTGCCATTTGTTATCAATAAAAGCAAGAATGAAACTACACGCACGTTTATATTCTATCTCACTTGGGCCCAGCTAGTCTTTGAGAGTTAATCAGCTGCACTCAAATGCTGAAAATAATACTGCAAACCACAATAAGCGACGATGTTATTTTCTACATATCGGCTAATGTTGACAGGAAAACACTCCTCGTGCCATGCAGCTCATTCTCAGACAAACATAGATGCCTGTAGACAAAAACTGGTGGCCTTAAGCGGGAACGCCCATGAGTTTTTCCACCGGCCAAACCATGCGGTGAAGCATGATGATGTATTCCTGTAATTCTAGTGGCAGCTGGTTTCAACCAATCTTGAGGTAAAAATATAATTTGAGAGGGCGATGCAGCTGTCGCGAAACAGCTCGCCACAAAGTACAAAGGGGCGTTAATGCTATCTCAGCTGCTTACACAGCTTACGAAAAGTTTGCGATAACATTAGTGGCCCCTTCAAAAGCACTCTTCCTAGCTGCCCGTGGCGGAAGCTGGGCAATACCCTTTGGTGAAAAATTACAGAAAACTAAAAATGTAGAACAATAAGCTATGGAATATAATTGACACGAACCATTCAAAGACATTTAGCACGATGTTAGTGTGACCAATATTGTGACACAGTCCTTTATAATCGAGTATATTTTTGAAGAGCTATTCTGAATATACTTGCCTGAATGCCATCGTCCGCCGGTAGTTTGTGAGCACAGAGTCTCCCATTTCCGGGAGGACGTCCTCGGCGGCTTTCTCGAGTTTGGCAACACTGAGAAACGGGTCAATGTCGCCGAACAGGTGAGGCCGTGTTGTGAACTTGGAGAAGTCGTGAGCTCGCTCCGTGCCATTGCTCGAGAATTTCGTCAGAGAAATGTTGAGAGGGTAGTCTATGTTCTTTGTTATGCGACGGATGTCCTCTTGAGCCTGAGAAAATACGGGAAATCGATATTTAAACAAGACAACATTCTATACGCCAAATGCGAGACCTAAATTTCGCGATTATGTATTTTTCTGTGAAAAAAGACAATACGTTGGCAAGGACGGCAACCAAAAGAGCAAAAATATTGGTGCTAGTTTCGCGACTCTCCCTAGGCTTTAGCGCCATTACAAGATGACGCTGGAATAAATAGGATTATGGGGTGTTGCAAGAAATGTCGCCTAACATACTCAAAAATAAAGGAAATGGAATATTTTATCCCCGTCCCCATAATTATCTTTATTTATTTACCGTACTACCAGTCTCTACTGAGAGCATAGCAAGTGGCGCACTAGTAAAGATACTATAACCACCCATCATAATACAAATCAGCAATACAAAACAGTAACATCCGCTTTGCGAGGAGTTTAAACTGCATACCATATAATAGCTTTTTCTGGCGAGGGAGGCATCATAAGAGAACAGGAACCAGCAGCTATGCTAGAAAACAAAAATTTATCGATTTTTTATTTAGTGGTGCCAAATTGGTGTATGACATAAAGAACTTTCTGCCCTTCCTTTGAAGAGACTATTGCCGCATTAAAGCTTTGAAAGAAGAGGATTTTGTCACACTTAAAACTCCGTGTCTGGTGACAATTGTGGAGCAGCAAGCTTCCAGCAACTTCACCAGCGAAACCGAAACACAAGCTCTCATAAGAGCAACCAGAAGACGACAAGATTAACGTCCCTGTCCACGTTCCCTGTTCACTGAGTTAGTTGTGCGATTGTTAGAGTACATGCGCCAAACGTGCTAAAACCGTAAGCGAAACCCGTGCTGCCACGCAGCGAACTCGATCGGTGTTGGGTACAACGAAACTAGCTCATACTGAATGTCTCGGAAATGAGTGGCAGTTGCGTTCTTCCATGTTTTGGTTTCACTGGCAAAACAGGTCACGTTTGACTATTCACTAATTATACTGGCGGTATCTTTCCAAAATATACAAGCGGCATCAGGCTCTTTGCTAGAAAAGGCTGCTGTTTTCTCATTGGATCAATCCACCAATCTTCACTAAAGAAAAAGCTATTTGATTTCTGTAACTATTATCGCAATTCATGCCTTTACTCACTTTAAAGTGTCTGATGCCACAGAAAAAGTAATTGAAAAGGCAGCGTTGATATTTACTCGCACGCTTAAGAGCTTTACAAATAATTGATGCCTGTCATTAGCGTAACGCTTCAAATCGTAAGTGGAGCCAAGCCAAGATAATCCAATCACTATCATCGTTAGTAGTCGGTTACAACTGCCGAAGTCTGTGATATTTGCTCCTGAAAACTAATACATTAACACTTTCGCCACTGCAGGAAATTCGCCCGCTCTGGTGTCGTCTAGAAAACCTCATGTTTTTATGGCACACAAAATCACGGATGTTTTTTTAATGGTGTCAAACTCTACATTTTTGAGTTATCTTTTGAACACGGTAAGTTTGAAACAACAAGTTTATTAAAAACAGTACTAAGGAAATCACCAAACTAAAAACATTGTAAGTATGAGCAAAGGATTTTACAGAACCGCCCACACTGCTCTACACAGGGTGAGCATAAAAAAGATGTAAATGTACTATTTAGGCGCAAGGAGCACACACAATTATCCTTAAATATAAGCGCTGTAAATACAAAAGTTTTTGTGTGCATAAAATTACATTACACGTAGTGTATTTCATGCCGCCATGCAGGTCTAGTGGCTAAGGTACTCGGCTGCTGCCCCGCAGTTCACGGCATCAAATTCTGGCTGCGGCGGCTGCATTTCTGATGGAGGCGGAAATGTTGTAAGCCCGTGCGCTCAGTTTGGGTGCACGTTAAAGAACCCCAGGTAGACGAAATTTCCGGAGCCCTCCACTACGGTATCTCTCATAATCATATGGCGAATTTGGGACGTTAAACCCCACATATCAATCAATTTCATGCCACCAGTGCAAAACAGTTTCGTGATGCGGTAAAACATAGTTTTGCTACGCACGTTTCCCAGAAAACACTTGCTTTCTGTTGCTCTTTTGTTGCCGTAGCAAATTTACATTTACCTATATATATATAGGTAAATGTAAATGTGAGCGGGAGCCACGAGAGCGGCCGCGTCAGCAGCACGTGTAAGTGAGCTCTGCACAGATCTGCCTATAACTTTAGCAATTTTGGTTCTAGGAGGGTCAGAGTGGTGTCTATTTGTTTGTGAAGATACAAGGAGTTCAACCGCTACAAATACTGCTATTACAAGCGAAAATTTCAAATTTTAGGAGCGAAAAACAGTGTGAATCTGTGAAAACAACAACAGTCAGATTACGTGTTTTTTACGATCGCTTGTAGCTTCGTTAATATTTTACCGGGAAACTTCTCACTTATAAAGTTGAAAGTCCTTAGGGTAGACCTGACGCTACTGAAGTTTGATAAGGCTAGCTTTAATAGTTCCAAAGTTAGTCCGCAATCAAAATTAAGCTTAATCACTAAAAAAATAAATTGGTAATATCACCTCGCAAACGCATTTAAATTTTGTCCGCTTAATATAATAATAAACCGCACCCCATAGGCTACCAGTAGGCCTAATTTTGTACACTCTAGGCCCTTAATTAAGGTGGTAATCAGCAAAAAGCTCATTTCATTAAAACAAATTTTCAAAAGGAGCTACAAATGCCACCGAAAAATAACTAATATCTTCTTTTAGAACACAACAGTCCGGTTCTTTCAGTGTAAAAATAATTTTGATAGCTTAAGGTAAGCGGAAGATACAGAGTTAGAAAGAATATAACGAAAACCGCTAATAAACGTGTGGCGCCCGCGTCTTTCCTCGCTCAGAGGAGGAGGGTGGCTCACTGCTCGGGAGAAAGGTACGCCCGTCAGATCAAGTCTTGAACCACGTGTTTTTTTTCCCTTACGATCGCTTTTAACTTTGCTAATAACCTACCGGGAAACTTTTAACTCATACAGTGCAAAGCCCTAATTGTAGACCTGTCGCCGCTCAGGTTTTTATTAGGACAGGAGTAATAGTACCGGAAACTATTTCGTGACCAAAATAATCCTATTCACTAAAAAAGATCAATTTGGTAACATCACCTCACAAACGAATTTAAATTTTGTCCGCTTAATATATCAATAAACAGCACCCCATAGGCTAATCGGAGGCCTAACTCCGTACTCTCTAGACCCTTAATTAAGGGGTTAATCAGCAGAAATCTCATTTCATTGAAACATTTTTATAAAAACAACCGCAAACTTGACTGATACACCGCTGAAACCGACATTTAGAACATAACAATCCGGGTGCGACGATGACATAGTGGTTAGAGCATCCGCCTCGCATGCAAGAGGTCCGTGGTTCAAATCCCGGTACCCCGCAGTTCCCAACGAAAGAAAAAAAAATCCGCGTGTTGATGGAACTGCATTAAGAGGCCTGAGGTGTGGCCTCACCAGTAACCACCGCCGGGAACGCACTTCCTCACCAGAGAAGGATTGGCCACACTGGTGCAGTATCTGGCCACTACCTCCCACATGCATACGTCAAATAACTCACGGCCCTCGGTTCCCAGCAGCCTGCGAAGCAACTGACCATGGCGGCGGTCAGATCTGCAACGCAGCAGAGGGTGCTAAGAATCTCTGGACTACAGGCCGCCTTTGGAACCTGAACTTGGCAACGTTTAACGCTAGAACCTTATCTAGTGAGGGAAGTCTAGCTGTACTATTCGAGGAGCTAGAGGGTGTTAAATGGGATATAATAGGGCTCAGTGAGGTTAGGAGGACAGATGAGGTCTATACGGTGCTACTTAATGGGCACGTCTTTTGCTATCGGGGCTTGGCTGACAGAAGAGAACTGGGAGTGGGGTTCCTAATTCACAGAAACATAGCTGGCAACATAAAGGAATACTATAGCATTAATGAAAGAGTGGTAGGTATTGTATTTAAACTGAATAAAAGATACAAGATGAAGGTAGTACAGGCTTATGCACCTACATCCAGCCATGATGACGCCTCAGTTGAAAGCTTCTATGAAGACGTGGAATCGCCAATAAGTAAGGTAAAAACACAGTATACTATAGTGATGGGCGACTTTAATGCAAAGGTAGGAAGAAGCAGGCATGGAGACCAGGCAGTAGGAGATTATAGCATCGGCACTAGAAACGCCAGAAGAGAGCTACTAGTAGAATTCGCAGAACGCAATAATTTGCAGATTTTGAATACTTTCTATCGAAAACGAGAAAACCACAAGTGGACATAGAGGCGCCCTAATGGCGAAAATAAGAACGAAATAGACTTTATAATGACTGCACACCCAGGAATCGTGCAGGATGTGGAAGTGGTTGGCAAGGATACGATGCAGAGACCATAGAATGGTACGGTCTCAAATTCGCCTAGACTTGAAGAAGGAACGATAGAAACTGATATGCAAGAAGCCAATCAATGAGCTATCACTGAGAGGGAAAGTACAGGATTTCATTGTCGCTGCAGAACAGGTACTCGGCTCTTAGTGAGGAAACCAACCTTAGCGTAGATACAATGAATGATAATCTAACGAGTATCATTACGGAGTGGGCAGTGGAAGTTGGAGGCAGGGTAGTTAGACAGGAAACTGGCAAGCTTTCCCAGGAAAGGAAGAACCTAATTAAGAAGCGTCAAAGCATGAAAGTGTCAAGTACAACAGACAAAATAGAACTGGCAGAGCTTTCAAAGTTGATTAATAGGCATAAAGTATGCGATGTAAGAAGGTATAACATGAAGAGAATTGAACAAACTCTGAAAAACGGAGGAAGCGTCAAAGCAGTGAAGAGTAATTTTGGGATAGGCAAAAGTCGGATGTATGCACTAAGGGACAAAGAAGGCAAAATAACTACCAATATGGATAGGATAGTTGAAATAGCGGAGGAGTTTTACAGAGATCTGTACAGTAGCCGAGACAACCACGACCGTAATACTACAAGAACTAGCAGTAACCCAGATGACACCCCACCAGTAATGATCGAAAAAT